ATAAGAGTTTTAGAAACAAAAGTTGCAAAATTTGTTACATGATACTCTTTGCCTTTCATTTTCCTGCAATTTGATTGGTTATTTTAAACAAACCTTGAAATCCGATTGGTTGTTTTGTTTTTAGTGTCGCCTGCTCATTGGCTGGGAAAAAGATGCAATTTAAAGCTAAAAATGGTGCAGTTCGTGAATAAATCACACCAATTAAACCCAATCAGATTACAGGGACCACTAGTGATTTCAAATGGGTGTAATAAAGCAACTAATATTCTCAAATCTATTATCTGCAATTCAAAGTGCTTATGACAAGATATTTTTATTCTTTGCACAAATATTTAGCTTATCATATGTACAAACCAATTCCAATAGAAGAAAAATTCTGTTTTTTTAGGGCCCTAAAGTGCTCTTACATTTTTTGTCTTCAACCCTTTACACCCCAACATCAGTATTCATATTCTCCACACTGTTCTCTGTACATTTACAAAGGTGCTGACAAGGAGAATTAGTCTAACAATCAAGAGTTTCTTTAGTTGGTGATCATTTCCTTTATTCTCATGACATTAATGTGTGATTCAGTGGTGTTATTGTAAGGAGAATTCAGATGCTAGTTACTCTTTGGGGGTTACAGGGTTTACCAGTAAATTGTCCCAAGGACTGGTAACAAATTGGCGGGTGGTGACATGTCTTCACAGTTTCTACATCTCAGCAAAGTAACATGATCGTTTTGGCTGCGTGCTTAATTGGGACACTTTTTGGCCACCAAATTGTTCTTTCGACATGCAAAAAAATGGCCAAGGTGAACCTGCTAGGCGCTAAGGTCAATTATTTATGATCTAATTCTAAATATAGTCATGGGCACTTCAAGTTCCTCAATACATAACAGCAAAAAGGAATAGGTGTTTATAGCATCTGTACAGAAAAAGATTGTAAAATTTGATGGGCTAAGGATCTACAATAGTGATATTATTGTGCTTTAAATTCTTACAACAAATAGACAATTATTGTCCACCAACATCAACAAGTGCTAAGTCTGTTATTACTCTGAGAGGTGACACCCCATGAGTCAGTAAGGACAGTGATGTATAAGTCATATACCTCTACATTTGCTGCATGCAAATTATTCCTTTCAACTTGTGAATGAGCATACTGCTGCCTGGATTCCTAGAGTAAAACAATCATAATTAGGAGGAATCATTAGAGGAGTATAACATAAAAGTCAAAGGTGGTGATATCAAATAAAAATCTCAAAGATTGACTGTTCCCACATCTACTGGTAACAGTAAGACATTTCAATGTAAGTAGCCATTGCTAAACCACTTAAGTTTGGACAGTGAAGACACTTTTCACCTCCTCTCTAGAGTAAACACCAATTAATTAGCCATTACAATGAGACTAAGCATATTAGGCAGTTAAAATTGCCTGGAATAAGTCCATCTGGCCCTTTTAACTCTTTATTATTTTTTGCATTCTTGCTAACTCTGAAGCCTGGAACTAAGGAATTCTGGATCAATAGCATCTTTTAAGACTAATTATTATCAATTTTTTTGTACAACTCATATACCTAGTGTCCTATTTTCATTATAAGTTTAGAAATTTTTATGGTTTTATATTTAGACATTAAATGGTAATTTTCTAGTTTAATATCCAATCAATTATCAGTTCTTAATACTTTTGTACACCACATATCTCTAGTGTCCTATTTTCATTACACATGTAATTTTAGACAGAGGGCCTCAAGTTTATTAATTATTTTTTATCTATTCAGTTCCAACCTATTTAAATAAAGTGTATTATTATCACTATTATTATTTTTACTACTATTATTATTCCAAACATACCTCCAAAGTTTGCCTCAACTGGAACCGATCATTGAGGAGAGTCTGGCAAAATGAATCCTTTTCTTCTAATTTCTAATGAAAGAATTAAAATATCAAGTTAGGCAATGCAAAATAGGATAACATTCCTTGATGTGCTCTCTATCTATTATCATCCAATACTTTTATAAAGTTTGTTTGAATGCATTTTATTTCACACTTTTTGACCCTCTCTACAGTTTTTTTATTCACAAGTAACAGAAAAACCTGCATTTAAGTCAAAATTATTACCAACAATCATAATTTCATAACATATTCCACCCACACCTGCATAGGACAACCAATAACGAAGTGTAGTAAAGAAAACAAGATTGTAATTCAAAATAATTACCAATTAATTCCAATTTTGTACAGAGAAGAATTGGGGACAAACTCCACAAAGATTTATTGTTTATTGGTACATAACGCTAAAATGAAGCTATTGGAATAACTATCCCTCGGCTGATGAAAAGTTATTATGCAAACACTATTAGAAAATCTTTCATTTCTCTTTGACACATGCAGCTTCTTCCAAACACTTGGGAAAAGGGCATTCTTTAAGCTTAATAATAACACAAATTAAGGTTGAGGCATGTTATGCAGATCTTTATTTTTTTTTGTTAATGGTACAAATATCAAGAAAAATCATACAACAGTTTGGATCATATATTCCATTAAAATTTCTGTAGAATATTTAAAAATCCTCTATTGATTTATACGCAACTTACCTTTGCTAAATACAGGACACTTTTCTGCGAGGATTCTAATTGCTGAAAAAGTTTAAGAAATGCAAGCATCTTAAAAATAATAAATTATGTTTTAAATATATGATTTATTCTTATGTGTTCCAGACTACTTTGGAATTTGTGAGACACTTTCAAGTATTAAATCAAACCTAGGATTTTGTTGTGTTAAATTCCAGCAGTTTGAATTCATGATATGAAATTTTAGGCCTACACTGCATTAAAATTTTACACTACTGGTGAAAATACACTTGTCTATCTCTTCACAGGTGAATTCAGTTCAGGTACAAGACAGCCAGCTGACTTATAACTGAGTATTTCATTTTACATGTCACACAACCTAACATTGACCCCTAGAAAAACAACCAACATAATTATATGTGTGAGTCCCTAAAAATAACACATTCAGCTGCTCATGGTCTCAGGTCTTACAAACTGTAAATTCCTAAGACCCAGACAAAAGCCTCATGGTTCGATTGGCTTTTCCTTCTTTTCAGATAATGATTTAATTATTGTGTAAGCACAACAATTATTACCTGTTTTGTTTCTTCCAGGAGACCGTTATTTTCTGTGGCATCGTAGTGTTCTACAGCTCTGTCAATTTCTTCACCATTTTCTGGAACACCATCCACTTCTACTGGGTCAGTCTGGTTTGGCCTGTTGTTATGACGTCCTGTCACTAGTGAAGGGGAGTTGCTACCAGGCTGTGCTCCTTCAGGAGTGTTGGGTCTGGATTGTGTTATTTCGAAGTGATCTAGTTGCCTTTTAGAATCTTCTGAGAGGCTCATCATTGACTGAATCTGATGTTCAGTTTTTCCACCTTCAAGTGCAATGGAAGATGCACTGTTTTGGTGCTGGACACCTTCATGCCCTGAGGCAGGTGTGTCCATTAGAGCAGTGGATAATGATGCCATCTGGGGGTAGGAGTTGCCTTCATCTGAGAAGAACCCAGTGTCTTGATTTTCATTTTGTAACAAGGAACCAGAAAAAATTTCACAACCAGCAGAATTTCTTGCAGCAAATTCACTTGATTCTGGAGGTGGGGAACTAGATTGAGGACAATCGACTGTAAAATCTCCTGCTTGTATGGAGGGTAGATTTAAATTTGATTCATTTCCAGGTAGACCTGTGAATAATTCTTGCCTGACATCATGCTTAACAGTGCTGCGTGAAGGCTGATACCAATTCCTTTTTGGAATGACCCCTTGGTATTCTCCTGCTCTTGGGTTATCCTCTATATATGTTAATGAAGGATCTGGAGTAGAAGGACTGCACTTGAATTGTGCTCCTTCTGGAGTAGTAGTGAGTCTAGCTGGGGTTCTGAAATGATCAGGCTGCATGTTGGAATCTTCTAAGGGGCTTGCCAGCAATTGAATCTGATGTTCAGCTTTTCCAGCTTCAGGTATTAAAGTAGAGGCACTGTTTTTGTACTGATTTTCTTCATTCCCTGAGGCAAGTGTATGCATAAGAGTCATGGAGGATGATGCCCTGTGGGTGTGTGAATTGCCTTCTTCTGGTAAGAACACAGTATCTTGACTTTCATCTTGTACTGAAGAATTACAAAGAATTTTATAACCAGCAGCATTCCTTGCAACCCTTTTAATTGATTGTGGAGAACAGGAACTGAATTTACTATCATTTCCAAAATCTCCCCCTAGTATGGGGGATTGATTTAAATATGACACACTGACTGGTAGGCCTCTTAATACTTTCTGCCCCTTTTTAGGCTTACCAGTAACAGGGCTGTTTGGATGCTGAGCCTGTTTCCTCTTAGGAATGGCTCCTTGGTATTCACATGCTCTGGCATCAGCAACTAGCGATGATGATGAAGAATCTGGAGCAAAATAAGAAAAAACAACTTAGTATTGCACAAAAAAAAATGAAAGTGGAACTGAATATTGAGCTTGATACAAAATTACCATATATACTTGAAATACAACATATTCTCAAAAATATAGAAAAAGAAAGATCTGATTAACTTATGATGGGAAAATAGAATAAAAATAAGATACCACTTGGAATATTTCCTTCTCTGACACATTCTCTGGTGTGTTCACAATCACTCAGTAATACGTTAGGTTGAAAGAGACACATTTGTTGTCTCTGACAACATGGCAGACTCACCTGATTTACAAGAACAAACTGTTTATCCTGTGAAGAAAAATGTGTCTGCTCATTCAAGTCACGACTGGAGCAAAATGTTCCTGGCAGTGCGGTCTCAGCTGGTAGAGAGCTTTTGAGGTTTACTTCATCCATCATTTCTCTCTGATGAACAGCCAAAAGATCTTCAAATTCCTTGGACAATTGAAGCTTCTTAAATATGAATTTCCACATTTCTAATGACAATGTTTGATTTTTCTTCTCATAATAGCTCACAAGGTCACCAACTGATGTAAAACGTGAGGTATCAAGAACAATCAAGACAAATGCTAGTTGATCCAAAGGAAGTTTTTTAATCTCTAAAACTTTCGACAATTTTGCTTTCAAAGTGGGAGATACATCATCCAGCATTTGCCTATTTTCTGGTTCCATTTCTGAAAAAAATGGAATGAGTTCCATTAGAGACATAATATATCAACATACAGGGCTCTAAGTTAATTTGTTACAGAGACTTTTGTCTGCATAGCCATCAATTGTGGTGCAGGAGTTAACTTCCTGGATACCTTAGTATCAGCTCAGTTGGTTAACTCACTGACTAACATAATAGTTGCTCTGCATGAGAATTTCCACTTTAAAAAGTGTTTAGAGTGAGTACAAAGGTAATAAGGAGTAAAATATATCTAGAGAGGTAATTGATTTTGTAGATGCTTGTGTAAAGCAGGATTTTGCTGTCTCAAACACAGGAATTTAAATAAGAAACCTTACATGTAAATGTGCAAGAAATAATAGTTTCAGCATGATTGACAGCAAAGATTGAACTTGTTTTGTGTGTCTCACAACCATGGTGTGAGACTTGAGAGCTTTAAACAACAGGAACCAAATTGCTACCTATTTTCAAGGGTCTTCTAGCAAGAAATATCAAAAATGTTCATGCAGATATACTGTAAACACTGGAATAAAAATGTGTTTGGCAGCTCAAATAAAAGGAGCACTAATTTTGAAAAGAAATCAAAAGAAATCACAAGTAAAGTTCTCAGAAAATTGCATTGTTTTGGTTACTTCATCAAAGGTATACAGGCGTTCAGTCACCAACACTGAAAATGGAGAATACCCAGTACCATATTTACTTGTGTATAAGTCGAACTCATGTCAACCCCATTTTCAAGGTCAAAAATCAGATTTTTCATCATTCCTAGTCAAAGAAGTAAAATTTAGACAGATAGAAATTTCCCAAAAGGTAATCTCTTATTTCTGATGATGTATTGAAAATACAGGGAATTAAAAGAACTGCAGAGAAAAATGTAACCGTGTGCTATGAAGTTTATTAGCGCTTGTTCATCACACCACGGTGCAAGCATACACAAGCAATTAGATTTACTAGAGAAGTATTTTTAATTACCATTTTTTGTGAATCATTGAAAATGAAATATTCTTGTATTTAACTAACCTTTATCTTAAAGTTGAGTTTGAAAGGAGATTAAGTAGACTGATGGAACATCAAAGAGCTTCGAAGGATCTCGTGTGACAAACAAGACAGCATTTGCCAGGTCACTGAGCCACTGAAATTGATCAATGAAAACAAAAGTTCTACCCCATAAACAGCAGTGAAGCTGTAAGAAAAAATGTCTGCTCTATAGTCCAAAGACACCATAGAAATCAGCTCCAGTAGCTCTGTGTTAAGCCACTTAAAATTTATTGTTTTAAACTTTTTTTGTTGACGAAGAATGCGCTGAAAATTAGTGAAACTCAAACACAATTATAACTGGTTTTATAAACTCAGTTTTCTTAACAGACTTCAGACAATTGTTATGCTAATTTATTGGATTGCTTGGGTCAGGTCTTTGTGTATGACTCATGTATATAAGTCAAGGGTAATATTTTGAGATGATTATTTGGTCATAAAAGGTTGACTTATACACAAGTAAATACGGTAAACCCTTGCATAAAACCTTTTCAAGATCTCTTACTTATATTTACCACCTGAAAATCTTGATCGAAAAGTGATTATACTATTAGCTCTCTCAAAATACAATGATACAAAAATAATATGCCTTGGATACTTTAATGTTACATCATATCTTTGTAATGGATCAAAATCAACAGTGATGTAGGTACTTCATGCCTATAAAAATTGTGTGTTTTTTAACATTTGTGCCTGTGTCTTTGCAAAATTCAGTTCCCTTATACACAGTTTATAAAAACTGAGAATAAATTTAATGTAAGGAAAAGATGTACCTCTTAACTTTTTTAGCCAAATAATAGACTGAAAAATATAGTTATTGTTACAATAACGTAAGATGTGAAAGGCAAAGATGTGATTGTACCCAACTACCTAAAATAGACACCGATTGCTTTTAGAATAGTTTTAAAATTTGGTCAAAATATTAGGTATAAATTAGCAGCATAACTTACATTTTATTATTTTACCTTTTGAAATTGTAAGCATTTGTTAGTATTTTAGTATTTTTATTGCTAAATCTTCTCCATTGTGACCTTTAATATGTATTTTATCAAATGAATAAAGACATCACTATTATTAAGACTACTGTTAATATTAAAGGTTATTTGGCCATTTTACTTTTAAAACATAAGAATCACATATAAATACGGTTAATTCTCAAATTAGCCCTGCCCTTTTATTATGCTTCCTATCAGCCAGCATTCCTCTTGTGAGCCAAAATTTAAATTTAGGATCTCCTGCTCCAAAATATCTCTCTGCTGGCTTCTTATTCCTCTGTGTTCCTGGATAAGTACCAAATCAAAAGAAGATTTTTTGTATTGGTTGTGATTTAAATTCTTCTTGTTCATTCAAACCTCACTTGTTTCAGTATATAAAGAAGTAAACATTCGAAAATAACTACCACAGGCAATTTTACAATAGTTCTAATCAAAAGCTTTGAATAAACTTTAAATTTAATAATTAAAAAATACAACATTGTGTGGAGCTTTTTTTTAATGCAAACATTGCAATTCAAATAAATGACTGCTCCTGGCCACAACTAAGGCAAAAAAAATTTAAAAAAGCCCCTACCCTTCTCATCCCACCATTACCCTCTCATTAATTTGAAACAAGTGCCCAAGTGTTAATTCAAGAATTTTAAGAAGTTAAATCTTAACTATCAATACATAAAAATTGCAACAAGGATCAGCTGATCAAAAGATTTAACCTCTTTGTAAATTTTCCCACCTAAAGTGGGCCACAGAACCCGCGTAAAACTAACACAGCATAATACGAATGGGTTGCCTTCTGAAAAGTGACTCTGAAAAGCTCAAGTGAGCAACATAAGGAACTTGATATGTCTCAATGCAACGATAGAGTTTCTATACAAATTCCTTACAGCTAAAACCTTCCCATAAACGGCACAACTTCACAGTGCATTCTCTAAAATGTGTGTATTTATGTGTTAAGCAGCCTTCAAGCAGTTTTTCTTTACTTGAAAAAGGTTTGAAATGCACCGAAGTGCTTAACATATTCAGGACATCTTAATCGTCTTTCTCGTATCTCGTCAGGAACCTGCTTCAGAGTGAGAGGCATGCAATTTGTCAAAAATTAAAAAATTTAAAGTCGACAATTACTATTAAAAAGCTAAATCACTGGTAAGTTCACGTCTGTCTGATGAGCTTTCGGAGCAATCTTGGAAATGCGCAACAGTTTATCAATACGCTAGTCTTTAAAGTCAAAATATTAAAAACTCGATACTTCGTTTATTTACAACACGTACGCCTGTCCCACACTGATCGACTCACCTGCTGTCTTTACTTTGATTTCAATGCCTTGTAAACGGGTGAAACTCCAGCATACCTTCAGAGTGTTGGTCAAACCGAACCAATGACAACAACTTCGTAATCCAGAGCTAATAAAAATCCCACGTGCCACCCTACCAATTTAATGGAAACCAAACAGCCCAGGAGACGATAAAAATATCTAAGAAAGTTCGGATATAACGCGCGCTGCCATTCGTTGAGAGCGTACTCAATCAGAGATTAGAACATAGAGTTGAGCTAACTGTTCGGTGTTACACAAGGATTTCCAGGCCTGAGAAAGCCGTAACAACACACGTGAAAAAATATGAATCATACACCGGATCACGGGACCAAATCACAGATCGAAAAAATCAAATCATTCATAAAATTATAGGACAAAAAAATAAGAGTAAAAAAGCTTTAAACATACTAATTAAATTAGAAATGTTGCGTGACAGGCCAAAATAAACTCTGCGTGACATAATGCGGCGCACGCCCCCTAGTAGTCACTTTAGCGGCTGTGTCGAAGAGTGGAGTGTGCTGCCCCCATAGACCAAGGCAAGCGAGAGGTACGTATCATTTCATCAGTCAGTTATTATTACTTTTTATTATCTAAACTACGGTGTTATATAAGGATTTCCAGCCCTGAGAAAATCCGTTACAAAACTCGTGGAAAAATACGATATTTTTTCACGTTTGTTTGGGATCGCCAATAAGCTCTAACACTTATTCGCCTTTCACGCTACTCGGTCAGGTTGATTGAATGAACGGCAAAGCCTTGACACCATTCTCAATCCAAGGTCATTTGTCGGAATTTTTTCGGGCTATGGCTGCTAAAACACTGAAAAATATGCATCGCTTAGAGACAATGACGTTCAAACTTTCCTAGGAGAGGAAGAGAATCAAAATACGGAAAGAAAAACTGAAAGTTACATACTCAGTGGCTTTGGTAATGGCATTTCTCGCGGCTGAAAACGCAAATCGGCAGCTAAAAGATTTGCTACGGGCCGTTTTTGGCCGTGTACCTGAAATATTTCTTCTGTCGGTAAGGCAAATACTATAATTGAGAATTTTGTATATTAAAAATTACGTCCATTTACTTTTGTAGAGTTTCATCGCATTTTTTCATCTTGAGCCTTAGTGCCAACGCACTTAACGATTTTTACCTGGGGATTGTCGATCCTTTCATTTTCATTCATTAATAAAGTTGACTTTCTTGTCAGTTAAGGGAGATTGTATTTACTATAACTCGTGAGCTATTGAGTTAAACACTCGAAGAGAAATTCCATATCTACGCGCGCCCATGTATTATTCTCTATATTTTAAATATCATCTCACGCGCTACTTTTTCTTTATTCAATACCGTTTAGCAGGCGCGAGAGAAGAGGCGAGGTGAGGAGTGAGACTTTTTTTAGATATGACTACTGAACGAACACGTCTCGAGTTTCCTGCGTGCTTTACAGAAGAACAGAGCACAGTCATGGCTTCTCTACTAGTCAAGTAAACGATCATTACGTCACGGTCGCTATTGCCAAATTCCATGGCGGCAGATGAGCGGGAAAAAGAGAGTCTGGAGGTTGTCATTTCGAAGATCTCGGTACTTGCCTGTGCGAATAGCTAGTTTTTATTTGACGTGTTTACATCCAAGACGGAGATTTATTTAACTCTCAAATGCAAACGGTAAAACTATTTGGAAACATGACTGACATTTAGAACTGAGACGCGCGAAACCATCCCAATATATATACGGCTTCAGCTCTTTAAGTAAGTGGGACCTCCAAGGAAATGGCCCATATCCAACGGATGAATCACTATTCAGCGGACGGGTTAAGAAAACGTACTGCGCTATCCACCGGCTAGAGATTTATTCAGAGGACATTGTTCTCCACCCTTCGAACAACCAGGGCTTGATAAGCGATTACTTTGTTCTCCCAAATAAAAACGTAGGCATGCTAGGCAAGCAAGACTTACCTTTTTTGGGTAGGCCACACGTCTTGATAAGTACCCTGTTCCACTAGTGAGAGATTACTCAAGAATATAATTCATGAGATCCTTTTCGAAAACCATATTTGTATGAAAAAGGTATCAGTATCTCAATAAAGATTATTATTATTGTGACTAATTGACATTTAACCAATAATCATAATGGTATTGAAAAATGATAATAATAACAGTAAACAACTGTGAATTTATAAACATCGTATAGATTAAATAATATGTAACAATAGCACTTATAATGATGATGATGTTACAAATGTGGTCACAAAGATAGGGAAGATTCAGTAGACTCTTTCCAAATTCATCTACTATATGGGTCCACCAATATAAATTTTGTGTGAAATTTTTGTTGCAAGCTGAGCCGGTCAGAGTGAGTAAGTAGGCCATGCAGACAGGCCGAAGATACATTAGACATAAGTCTATAAAATATGGTTTTTGTTTCTGTATCCCCACAGTTTGTGGAGTTAATTTGAGGTTTTCAAGTCCCTTTCAGCTCAGATGTTTCTTCTGTACCCTATATTCAATCCTTAGGGGTACTATGGTTTGTCTCATCCGTACGGGGCACCTTATCTGTGCGGGCATCTGTGTCCTTAGGAGACAAGGAAGAGTTTGTGTCTTTTCTGAAGGCAATCAATGCGACATAGTGACTGATTTGAACAGTGGGGTTCAGAACTTCAAGTAAATGAAGAAGTCCTAATTAATTTCAATTAATTAATTTTTGACAAAAAATACGGAAGAATTTTAGATATAGAAGACTTTTTCCCTAGATAATACTAGATTACAGAGACAAGCATGGAACAACATAGATAAACTAAATACTTTTAATGTTTTCAAAATCACATCTAAGCCATACAGCTTCATTTTTCGTCTAGCTAGGACAAACATTAACCTTTTAATCAAAGAACGTAAGACTGATTTGATAACTCTTGTCTATTTGTGGTATGCAGTCACAAATTTTCCACAATACTTGGGAAAAAGAGTTGAGAGAGTGTTGCCCTTTGTCAGAGCGAACGTCTACATTTCGATAATTTACATCTTCACTTGCGACATTTAATTTATCAATTGTTACAAACTGAAAATAAAATAATATAAAAGGAGAAAAAATTATACAGTCAATTGCTTAAGACACTACATTTTGAGAAAAATAGTTCTAGGGCTATTGGAAAAATTTTGCCGTTAAAATAAAAGCATGTTCTCTCAAAATATGTCAACATATTACTATCAAAATATTCTCAAAATGGCTTTTGCCTTAATGTCCCTTAACTGTCTATCATAAATATATCTATAAATATCAGTTCATTAACCCTGTACCATATATTATTACTTAGATAATGTTTTAATGTCAACTGCATTTTTCTCTAAAATCTCACCAGGTATATGTCACTGAAAATCGGCTTTTGGCATAATGTCCCTTGACTGTCTATCATAACTGTATCTACATATAACTATTCATTTGTTCTCTATCATAAATGATCAATCAAGAAACGTTTTAATGCTAACTGTATTTTTTTTCTAAAATCTCATGTGGTATATGTTACCAAAAATTGACATACATGTACGTTTATGCCTATCATACATTATCATCAATATAACAAGCTCGCCTCTTATGACTGAAGATTGGAAAAGCACACCATTACAGATGCTAGTTTTCTTGAATGCTGATTGTACATTTCAATTCATCTATGGAATCGCCAAATTGCAGGATAAAATTGATGTCTCCAGTAGAGGAAAAGCTAATTCTTGTGTTTTTCCAAGAATCTATTAATTTTTTTCTTTCATTGAGAATTTTTGGAAGGATCTTCCATTATTAAAAATGTCCACACACAATCCATTCATCTATAATTGTGTACAAGAAATCACCAAACCTTTTGACAGCTATTAGACAAAGTGTCAAATACATATTAACAAAAACTAATAGCACATGTTACACAAGCACTACCAAGAAGGCCTGAAAGTTAAATTCACATTTGCTCATGTACAGATTGTTGTCGAGGCGATAATTACATCTTTTTTTTCACATGGAGGCTTCCAGAACTAATTGAAAAGCTTGTAAAAGCGCTGTATGAGAGATTAAATTCTCCACATGCCTTTCACATTGAAAATTCCACATGAAATGTGTGCAAAAACTGAATGTAGACTACGCCTAGTTGTACCATTAAAAGCACTTGCAGGTATGCATCTAGTTTTTAAATATTTACAACATTAACCTATTTTCTCAGCCAATAAACCGCCATCTGAGGCAAACATGGTATCTCGCGTTGCATTAACGTGAATTTATAAACATCATATAGATTAAATAATATGTAACAATAGCACTTATGATGATGATGATGATGTTACTAATGTGGTCACAAAGATAGGGAAGATTCAGTAGACTCTTTCCACATTCATTTACTATATGAGTCTGGTCTAGTGCATCAAAGAACTCATCATCACTGGAATCTTCAGTGTCTTAAACAAATCATATAAATAAATTTTAAACTTCTCTCATAGTTTTACACATGTAACAAAACCTTCAGAAGACATAGGTGCAATAGGTTTTCCCAGAGCCTTACACTCCAATGAGCTCATGAGAAGCCTTAGAAATATGCCGGGGAGTAACAATAGCCCTGATCATTCCATGTTACAGAACCCCCAAAACTAAGTCACCATCAACTTTCTCTTGTTTGCATTGGGCCAAAATAGTGAGTGTATTTCTAATTTTGAACATATCATAACTTCAACATATTAGAATTTAATAATGTATTGATTACCCTGAATAATTACAACTAGTAGCTTGGAAATTAAGTTTATTGTTTAAAAACATTTACCCAGCTCTTTTTGACATTTAATCACCTCAGTATAACAACTGAAAATTTACCTGACTCTTGGAGATAAGGAAATGGACCTGGCTGCTCATCAGCTTCTGGTTCAACCTCCTGCTCAAAGACAAAAACATTTCAACATTATCTATCTGGAAATGAGGAGTTGATGATTATTTTATTTTATTTCATTTATAAGGACTATAAATTCCTAAGAAGTAAAATGTAGGTTGGTATATTTACTCATTTATTCAGAAAATGCTGCAGCTAGAGTCAGCTCAAAAAGACAAAATAATTGTTAAATTTAGCCAAAGTAAGAATACACAGACGTTTTTAAAAAGCTTTTACATTACAGCACCCAGAAATTTGGTAAAAGAACTCTAGATCAAGCTAAGTACCAAGGTTCATTATGAATACATAACCTCGCCTATTCAAGCCCAAGATACTTTTGGTCTTATGTAACAACATGGTCCCATATCAGCATCATTATCAGTAAGATTCCAAGGTTTGAAGTACAGATCAAGTATGGTAAGGCCAAGCAGCTTGGATATTATAACACTAGCTACTTTGATGCCAAATGCAACCATTTATGTACTATAGAACTATGACTTTTTAAATCATCAAATGGTTAAAAATTGCACTTACGCTACAATCTGATGCATTGCCCTCTCCTACAGCTGCACTGCTTCCTTCAAAAGCAACATCACCTGCTTGCCTAGCCTGTAATAACCCAAACCTGCGATTGTCCTGAAACAATTATCATATGTGTAAACATTAAATTTTGGTTAATTTTCTAGAGTTTTAATGGTTTTTATTTTTTGAAGTGATATCACTTCAATACAGTCAAAGAGGAAAAGGAAACAGAAAACCACAAGGAATGATGTGTCAAGAGAGAAATTGCTTCTCAATGCTAAATGGTTACTTGTGCAACAAGACTACGCATTGAAGGTACATGTTGCTACTAGTAAAAACTATTTTGCCTGGGACAACTTGAGCTGCAATTAGCCTGAGTACAAAAACAACATCGACAACCTGACAAACAAACAAACATACAAAAAACACTCACTCAAATGTAGGCAAATATTTCACTAGAAATCTTTCAAGAAATGTTGATTCCTGAGAAGTGCTGTGATAATTAAGTCCACAGCTAGATTCACATGTCGTAAATCAGTGAATAATATTCAGAGCTCAATACTGAAGCAATCAAAGTGCAAACCAAACCTCAAGTATCCTATTTGACAAACACTGCTGTTCCTCCAAACTTCTCCTCAGCTGAAAGAAAAGAAATAATAGTTTCTAAGTTGGCAAACTTCAACCTCACCTTAACTTAAGATGATCAGTCTTATAAATATTAATAGTCTTAAACTAAAATAACTTAGAGATATCTGTCTCATATTACATTTCAGAGGACTAACTTTAAGTAAATACAAGTAACACTTAACTAAATATAAAGACTGAACACCTATCTAAATAAACTAAATTGTCCTTGGAAGTAAGGCTATCCAGATGTAGATTAAACAATGAGCACTGATTACAGCAGTAATATTTAGTGCTTCCTTTTTATCTGATATAATTATGGAAGCTTAAAGGATGATTTTTTTGCAGCAGTTGCAATTTTTTTTCCTGTAATTTAGGTTCCTTAATATTTTTCAGCAAAAAGGAACAGTTATTATAGCATCTACTTAAAAAAAACCGCTGAACGATTTTTGGAAGTGATTGAAAGTTCTTTAACTGAGAGCCAAAATGTTAGGATTTGCTAAGGATCTACACAAGTGTTCTTTCTGCTTGACTGTATGATGCTTTGTCTTACCTCTTCATTTTCTGCCTGTAAATTATCTCTAGAAATCCTTAAATTGGCACACTGCTGTCTGGATTCCTGGAACAAACCAATCATAATTAAAAGAGTACTGGTATACACAGAAGTCACAGGTGGAAATAATTAATGAATACAAATCTCAAAGGTTGACTGCACCACATCAACTAGTAACAGTAACAGTAACACAATAGAATATACAGATGTACTGTAAATGACCATTGCTAAACCATTTAAAGGTCAGAGACATTTCAAACCAATGAAGGCACTTTTCACCTCCTGGCCCTCTGGAGTTGCCATTAATTAACTGGCTATTACAATGAGTCTAAACATAAAAAGCACTTAAAACTGCCTTAAATAGCTCCCTTTATAGCCCCTTCAACTCCTCACTCTTGACATACCTCCAAAGTTTGCCTTGACTGGAACAGATCTGCCTTGAGAGTTTGGCAAAATGACTCCTTTTCTCTTAAGTTCTGATAAAATGATTACAATATCAAGTTAGGCAATTCAAAATAAGACCATTCCATGATGCGCCCTCCATTTTTGTTATAATCTATGTAATACCTTAAGTTGGTATTTGATTGATGTTTGATTGAATGCAATTGACTGCCTCCATATTACAAGTAGAAGAAATACCTGCTCTTTAGTAAAAATGATTAAACAATCAAAATTTCACAACATGTTTCATCCAAACCTTTATATGGCAACCAATAACAAAGTAAATAAAACAAATTAATTTCAAAATAATTACCAATTGCTGCCAATTCCATATAGCAAAGAAAAGGGGGGAAAAGTGTCACTACACAAAGATTTAGTGGCAAACTGTGTATTATGTAAATATGAAGCTAGGAATAACTACAGCTAAAGAAAAGTTATTGTGCAAACACTATTAGGAAATCCTTTATTTCTCTTTGATGCAAGCAGCTTCTTCCAAACACTTGGGGAAAAGGCATTGCCACTATTTAAAGTTTTAATAATTACACAGATTAAGGTTGAGGCATGATATCCAGATCTTTTTCTCTTTTGGTAACAGTACAAAGATTAAAAAAAATTATAACAGGTTGGATCATGAACTCAATTAAAATTTCAACAGAATACTTAAAAATCCTCTATTGATTTATGTGCAACTTACCTTTACTAAATACAGGACACTTTTCTTTGAGGATTCTAATTCCTGAAAAAAATTCATGATGACACACTGTTTAAGTTTCAGAAATGCAAGCATCTTAAAAATAATAAATTATGTTTTAATATAAGATTTATTATTGTGTCTCCCAGACAATTTTTGAATTTTTTTTTTACTTTCAAGTATTAATAAAACCTGGGGATTTTGTGTTAAATTCCAGCAGTTTCATGAAGATATGAATTTTTAGGCCCACACTGCATTAAAATTCCACACTATTATTAAAATACACTTGTCTATCTCCTCACAGGTGAATTCAGTTCAGACACAAGACAACCAGCTGACTTATAACTGAGTATTTCATTTTACATCTCACACAACCTAACTTTGACCCCCAGGAAAACAATCAACATAATTATATGTGTGAGTCCCTAAAAATAACAAATTCAGCTGCTTATGGTCTCAAATCTTACAAACTGTAAATTCCTGACACCCAGACAAAGGCCTCATGGTTCAATTGGCTTTTCTTTCTTTTCAGATAATGATTAAATTATTGTGTAAGTGCAACAGCACATTATTACCTGTTTTGTTTCTTCCAGTAGACCATTATTTTCTGTGGCATCATAATGTTCTACAGCTCTGTCATCTTCTTCACCAGTCTGGTTTAGCCTGTTGTTATGACGTCCAGTCACTAGTGAGAGGGAGTTTCTACCAGGTTGTGCTCCTTCTGGAGTGTTGGGTCTGGCTGGTGTTATTTTGCAGTGATCTAGCTGCCTTTTGGTGATCTGATGTTTAGTTTTTCCACCTTCAGGTATAGTGGCAGATGCACTGTTTTGGTGCTGAATACCTTCATGCCCTGAGGCAGGTGCATCCATTCGAGTAGTGGATAATGATGTCATCTGGGAGAGGGAGTTGCCTTCTTCTGAGGAGGACTCAGTATCTTGATTTTCATTTCGTAACAAGGAATCACAAAAGATTTCACAACCAGCAGAATTTCTTGCAGCAATTTCAATCAATTCTGGAGGAGGGGAACTAGATTGAGGACAATTGCCCTTAAAATCTCCTGCTTGTATGGAGGGTAGATTTAAATTTGACTCACTATCCTGCCTAACATCATGCGTAACAGTGCTGTGTGAGGGCTGACACCAGTTCCTTTTTGGAATGGCTCCTTGGTATTCCCTTGCTCTTAAGTCATTCTCTATGTTTGTTAATGAAGAATCTGGAGTAGAAGGACTGTGCTTGGATTGTGCTCTTTCAGGAGTAGTGAGTATAGCTGGGGTTCTTGAATGACCAGGCTGCATTTGGGAATCCTCTGAGAGGCTTGGCAGCAATTGAATCCCATGTTTAGCTTCTCCCGGCTCAGGTATAACAGTAGAGGCACCATTTTGGTCCTGATATTCTTCATTCCCTGTGGCAGGTGTGTACAATAGAGCAGTGGATGATGATGATGTTGTCTGGGTGCAAGAGTTACCTTCTCCTGAGAAGAACCCGGTATCTTGACTTTCATTTTGTACTGAAGAATCACAAAGAATTGAACAATCAGCAGCATTCCACTCAGCACTTTCAATTGACTCTGGAGAGTGGAGACTCCAGGATTGAGGACATTTATCACCAAAATCTCCCCCTGGTATGGAGGGTAGATTTAAATCTGACTGACTTCCAGGTGCACCAATCAACATTTTCTCCCCAACATCAGGCTTAACAGTGCTGGGTGGAGGCTGAGGCTGTTTAGTTTTTGGGATGGCTCCTTCTCTTGCCCTTGGGTTAACTACTGGCAATTTTAAGGAAGGATCTGGAGCAAAAGAAGATGAATACTTAAGAGTACATACATGAGAGTGAAATGAAACATTAAGCTTATAATAAAAATTCCCAGATGAACATGTATTACAAGAACTAAGTAACATAAAACAGCAAATTCTCAATATGTACATGAACAATGTAGAAAAGTTTTGATAATATTACTCGCAATCTTTAATATGCAATTATATAAGTCTTATATCGACAGTTATTCTGTTAGAGTTAAAAAAAAAAGTTTTTTTTTTAACATGCAATGAACAAATGAAATCCCCTAACAATTTACTAATTAATCAAATAGTTTTTCATGTCAGTTTAAGTCTTTCAGGGCAAATTAATCAATTCTGTATTGTGGTTCTACAAGGTCAAAATAAGGCATAAAACTATTTTTTGAGGTGAAGTTGGACCCAAAGGCTGACAAAAAGTTCAAGCATTTACATTTGAACTCTAAGCTGCAATTTAAAAATGTTTCAATCAAAAGGCTTCAGTTCTCCTTTAAAATTACAAAATACATTACAGCAGAATAACCGAGATGGGTGTTATACAAATGTATATAAAACCTGCAACCTCTGGTTGACTACTGATGGAACATTGATAAGAAGTAAGATATATAGCACCATGCAGATTTCCAAGTTAGACAAAAGCTGGGCTCAAGATTGCAACCAAATGCTAAAAGTTCTGGTTTGGTTGCTACCTCAGCAACTAGATTTTTGTGTGTTTTTCAGTTACCTGTAAATGAGTCAAATTCAAGAGTACCTCATATTGTCTAGTGTTTCTGATCTTGAGAAAAATGGATGAAACTTGTATAAACAAAGTCTGTTGTCATCGAACACCTCCATCTTATGACACACATTCTGAATGTACATACATGACCACTCCTTTTAAATGCAGGTGCAGAATTTCAAGAAGTTACTTCATATTTATCAATACATTGCACTAAGACCAGATTTGTGGAAAATAAAGAAGCAACTTTTCAACTGGCAACAAAATATTTAATGCTGACGTTATCACTTTACACCACTCAGGCACCAAAAGGCGAAAGGCAAAGGAACACTTTAAATAGCACATTTGATCATTGTCAAAATGAAGGCATGTTTGCAGTCACATATATATATATAGTTCATAGTAACACATTAAGAAACACATGATTTCTCTTTAACTACGAGGTAAACTCACCATTCACACAAAGAAAAGGCTTATCTTGTAAAGGAACACCTCTTGGTTCAACTAAGTCCTGACTAGGTTGAGTTCCTTGCAGAGACTTCTCTGCTGGTAGTGACCCACTGCAGTTTACTTCACCCACAGCTGTTGGATTAATCATCATTACACTCTGATCCACAGCCAAAAGATCTTCAAGTTCCTTGGACAAATGCAGCTTCTTAAAAATGAACTTCCATTTTTCTAATGTCAGTGCTTGATTTCTGCTTTCATACTGGTTAACAAGATCAGCAACTGTTGCATAAGGGGAGGTATCATGAATGTACAAGGCTTGGGCTAGTTCCTCCAAAGGAAGTTTTTTCGACTCTAAAAGCTCCAACAATTTTGCTTTCAAGGTGGGAGAAACATCCAAATGTCGCCTATCATCCGATTCCATTTCTGAACAAAATACAGTAAGTTCTCATTAGAGACATAATACCAACAATAGGAACCTAATTGCAACTCAATTGAATTTCTTACTACAATGCGAGAGTGTCCATTGATATTTGTTACAGATTGAACTTTTCCATCTGGATGAAAAACAAATGACTTAATGGTTTTTTCATGGAACATGTACACAAAAAATGGCAATCTTGAATTTATTTCATACATGCTGAGATTTACACATGAAAAAAAGCCCACACTAAATTCATAACAAATATGCAACCAACCAATCAGAAGTGGATCACTGTGAAAATACATTATTATCTTTGTCTCTGTTTTAAAAGTAGGGTTCTCGAAAAATTCACATGGTTATTCTCAAGTATTCTTATGTTAAGTAGTTTTCAAGATGTTTTCCTTGACTCGAAAAAGGCTTGCACGGTACTTAGCGCACTTAGAATCAATACTAGTTCGTTGAAGTAACATGCTCATTTAATATTCGATCGCATGCTGTTATTTATTACAGTTGCGATCGAATATTAAATTAGGTTGCGTTCACTTCTGTATATTGAACTTTTGGGGGCCGAAAATACAAATAGGCAGATACATATACAGGTCTTAGTTATAGAAGCACACAGCTGATATCGAATTATCAGTAAAAACTTCAACATTTTCTCACACGGTAAAATTGGAAAGATACATACCGATTGATGAAAGTGCGTAGGAACTTAACTGCCTTTACTCTGACTTCAAATAGCGTTTACTCGGTTAAGACTCTAGCATATCCTAACAGTGTTGAGTAAATCGAACCAATGAAAACAATTCCGAACCGGATGAAATCAATTGTGCCCACAATTTTACGACCGGATAACTCAAAATGGCGTTTCGTACGTAATGAACTTTGAAACCTGTACAGTTACGTCACTATTTGCCTTAGTGATTGGCGAATTCTTTGGCGGGAAATGAGCGGGAAATAGATTAAGAGAAAGAGAGACTGAAGCCTTGGGTATTTACCTTTCTGAATGGCTGTTTTTTTTGTTTGACATTCTTCCATTTAAGATGGAAATTTAACCACTTTAAAGATATTAGGATCTATCATGCTATTCCTTCCAGTAGTCTCTTATTACAATACTCTGGCGAGGCCAGTCTGGCACCTGTTCCTGGTTGATTTGGAGAGAAGAGCCAGAAAACACGAGCACGTTCCCTTGAAGGGAGTTATAATACGCAAGCATATTTCAATCAGTAACCCCATGGCTTCAAAGCACCTTAGTGCCATCTAATGCATTCGTAGGGGTTTAATTTTGAGTTGTGATATTGTTAGTTGAGTTTTCGTTGGTGCGTATCCTCTAGCCTACGTGTAGCCGTAGCCTCCCCCTGCCTAAGGTGAAACGGTCCCCTCGCTTCCGTTTCACCTTGAGGGGGGGAGAGGGTACGACTTCACGCCTTCACGTAGCTTACGTATCCCCCAACCCCCTAGATAATGTTTACAACGATCCCCTACAAACACACATTTACCCAAGAAACAAAATAATTTTGCTAGTATTTTTTCTTGGAGTTAAACAAGCATAATAACCGTACTTCTAGGAGTGTTGAATACTGAAGAAATACCTGAGGTTCACACCTCATAGAGTCTTCACATTCTACGGTCCTGAGCCCAGTTGTATAAAGGGTGGGTAACGCTATCCGACGGATAAATCGCTATCCAGCGGATAAGTGATAGCAAAACGTAGTGTTATCCACCGGGTAAAGATTTATTCAGTGGATAGTGTTATTCAATCTTCAAGCAACCGGGGCCAAGAGACTAAATTTCTCTCCCACATAAAAACACAGGCATGCTACGCAGGCAAGACCTATCTTTTTGGATAGGTAGGTCACTCCTATTGAGGAGTAACCTGTTCCACTACAGAAAGATTACTCAAGAATATAGTGACTAAATATACGTTCGAACAATAATCATAATAATATTAATAAAATGATAATAATAACAGTGAACGACTGTGAATGTGTGAATATCATATGACAGTTACACAATTTGTAACAATAGCAGTAATGATAATGATGATGGTCTCAAAGATGGGGGAATTTCAGCATTCAACTTCAGGATGGGTCCACCAAAGTAAATTTGAATAGGCAATAATGATATACACGACAAAATGGCACGCGTGTGATTGGCTGAAAACGAGTGCATTTTTCATGTAACACGAGTACACCAATGCAAAATTAAAATAGCGCGCTCGCTGTCAGAATAACGTCTGTCTGAACTTTCTCTATCTTCTGTGTGCTCCACATTTAATCCTCGAGTAACTTATTGTCAGTCTCGTTCATACAAGGCATCTCATTACATCTGTGTCCTTAGGAGGCTGGGGAGAGTTTGTGGCTTTTTCAAAGCCACGATGGTATAAACGTCATGGCTGAATGCCATATAGATACAATGGCTGACAACAAAATGTTGGAATGATGTATTACCATATGGACGACTTTTGGGTTTGGCTTACTTAATGCAACAGGACATCGTGACAATTGCTGATTCAAGCAGCCTGTTCAGCACTCCTAGTAAGTGATTTATTCCGAGCAGCATTAGTCATTGTCTAAA